AACAACTCAGAGACAAATAATTTCAGAACAAAGTACCCAGTGTTGCATCTCAAAAAGGCCAACGTGAAATATTCTGTGGTTGTGAGAGGGTTTTGTTTTTATTTTCTCAATTATAAAATGCCCTTGAAACCAACATTTTTCTGCAGCCAAACTTTGCTGTGTTTGAATGTTGTTTTGTGATTACAATGATTCTTAGCATGCATAAAATGCCTTGTGCCAAGGCAGTGCCAACAGGTTCCTTTCTTTGAGGGCAGCAGGAAAAGAGAAATTGTCACCCTTGCTCCAGAAGTCAGAGAGGAGTTGATGATCAAGAAAAACCCCAGCAGAGCTTCCTGCTGATCCTGCACCCATCTTGAGCAAAGATGAACAACAAAATGATGTCTGGGGTGAACCAAAATGGTTATTTTACCTTTTGTAACAACCAAAATGCTGACCAGAAGTAACTGAGACCCTCATTAAGTGTTATTTGCATATTAACTCTCACACCCCTGAGGATGCAAATGAAGAGAAAAGAGGATGTGCCTCTTGGTTCATCTCAGTCACCAACACCCAGCCTGTGACACAGGATCATCCTTCTCTTTGGGAAGGACTAAAAATTATTGTATAAAAAATGGGGGGTTCACAGGAAAGAAAAAGGGAAGAGAAAAAAAGGAAGAAGAAAACAGGAGAAAAATGAAGAAAAACAAAGTAAGACTAAAACAGGAGGGAAAAAAGAAGAAAAGAAGGAAGAAAAAAAGGAAGACTGAAGCAGGAGAAAAACACCTCTGCTTGCTCAGGATCAGCCAATGGACATTTTTTCTCTTCCTCTCACAAAGAGGTACTTTTAGGTGAGATTTTGGCCTCCAACTGCATTGGARCAGACCCAGAAGTATTTTAATGTACACATCTAATAAATCTCTGTTACTATGCCTTCTGTCCAGGCTCCTATTCACTCTCTGTAGTGTATTTATCACCAGCAACCTTGGACTGCTTTCCCTTTGCTTCAATAAACCACACTATTTGTGAATCTCGGTTCTGGATATTCTTATCGAATTCAGCCAGACCCATGGTATCAGTAAATCACATTGTTCATGAATGTGCCATCATGAAAATTATGTTTGAAAACGACCAAACTCATTGTGCTGAATGAAAAATAAATGGAAATAAGGCCCAGCTGCACCCAGCCCCTCAGAGCTGTGACTGCCACCAAATTTACTTAATCCCAAGTTTCTGTGTGCTTAACTCAACAGGTGCTTACTTGGGCTGTTTTTTTTGGGTTTTTTTTCCTAATTTGATGATTCAACAAGCCATGGACTGCTTGAAAGTTGCTGGTGAGAGCTCACATTTGAGGCTGTTTTCAGAAGTGCCRTTGTTAGGTGTTATTATAAAAGTTTTCTTCTTGAATTTAAGGATGCTCAGCCTTCAATGAGACAAGTTTTGGGTTGCTTGTTCATGACTCAGTTTTGTGGGTTGCCACTGGTTACCAGCAATTTRGTAATAATACAATCTGTTGCTTCATTAAGCTGATTTTTGAAAGAAAATCTATATTAGTGAGCCTGTTTTGGCTYGTTTGAGCATTTATTTATTTGTTGTGATCAGTCTTGCCTCTCAATTATGTCTCAAATGAGCAGGARATAATGAATTTATCAGGACAGTGGCAGGACTTCTGGGAACATAATGGATGAGCAAATTCTAGGATGGAACAAAAAAATGGTTTCATTTTATATATTTGAAGGTCCTATACACAACACACCATCTTTAATTCCAGAGATTCCTGTTAGTGACTGAGATAGGGACTTTGCTCAGGGGGTTGTATGTAGGCCTTTTTATTTTAAAGAAATTTTGTATTTTTATGATAATTTAAGCAATTGATAATTAGTTTTTATTCACATAGAATGTATGGCACATGGGTAAAGTTTGTTTTTGTTTTTTTGGGGGGCTTTTTTTTTGGTTTTTGTTAGGTTTTTTTGAGGGCTTTTTTGGGGGTTTTTCTGGTGGTTTTTGGTGGGATTTTTTTCCTAGGGTCTTAGCTTCTTGTGAACTGACTTTTTTTGCATATTAATTGTATCTATTTACTCCAGTTTTTTTGTTTGCTAAGGCAAACAGCTTTTTGTTGTCTGGGGCTTGCAGCCCCACAGATTCCAGGTGGCAGGGTGGTTCCAGAGAGTTTGTAGACAACTTCAACGAGCTTTGAAGGGTTATCAAAAGACACAGATTAAATCCATGGATTCAAGATGGATCAAGGCCCCCTTTCCCAGGGCTGTAAAATATTTAGGGGATGCCTTTCTCTTGTGAACAGCAAGGAGATGCTGCTGGGGATGTGCCATTTTCACTTCCATGAACAGCCACCAGTTCAACCCCAGCAAAAAATGGGATAAGGAGGAAGAGGGAGAAGTAGCAGCAAACATTTGGCTCAAAAATACAGCAGGGAAGCAGCAAAGTCCAGCTCTGASAGCCTCCTGACCCCTTTCTTGGTGATTATTGAGCAGCTCTGTTTTAATTTTTATTGCTGAAATTGCAGCCTTCTCCTTGATTGAGGACGAAATGGATTTCCCTTTTTCTTTCAGCGTTTCACATTTGCCTGTGTGTGAGATATGGCCATGGATGTGTCCAGATGCCTGAATATGGGTACCTGAATGTGTGGGTGTGGATCTGTGCCCACACAGCACCACAAAAGCAGGAGTCTGAAATGTGTGAAGCACCRCTGAGCATTCTGGAAGGACAAATTGAATTTGTGTGCAAATTGAGTGTATTTGTTTTGGGAAGGCAGGGCCGCCATAACCCATCTGGTGCACGGCTTCAGCTGCTTCTCCTCTGCTCAAGCCCAGCTTGTTCCTTGCAAGGAAATGCTTCAGAGGGAAGGTTTTGACCAAAGCAACATGGAGTTACGAGCCAAGAGAAGGTGGCTTTGTGCCCAGCCACACGGCACGCTGGCTGTGTGCAGCCACAGACTGGATACAGCAAATTWCAGATCCTCTGCTACCTCCCACCTCACATCTCTCTCACTGAGAATTTTCCTCCCTTTTGCTTCCTTCTGCAGGTCCTGAAATGTGGAGCAGCTGGTTCTAAGGATGCTTGGACATGTCCAAAGAGGGAAATGCGATGGCACAGATGAGAATTCCCCACTTTCCGACGATTTTGTGGAGCAGGTTCTGCAGAGCAGCCTCACAGTCAGTAAACAGCAGACATCTGCCGTGCTCATTGTGACAGCACTGGCAGCTCCTGCTCTCCTTCCTTTGGCACTGCTGCAGCTCTGAKTTGTGCCACGACGTCTGGAGCAAAACCCAAATGTTCTTTTGGGCACAAGGGAGGCGGGACCACGTGCTGTGGTGAGCTGATTGCCCGAGCTGATTGCCTGAGCTGATTGCTGAGCTTTTCACCAAGGCAGCAGCTGTGAGCAAAGCTGTGCAGCCAGCACAGAGCATCCTCTGTGCCACAGAGCATCCCTCAGACAGGGACAGGGTGCTGCTGAAAGTGTTGGATTGGTCTGACTGAGAAAAACTACACCATTCTTGTCTCCCAGCTCCACCTCTGCCTCCTGTTTTGGGTTTGAAGCTAAGCCAAGGACAGATATTTGGATTGCATCTTGCCCTGAAGAAATCTGGCACATAACACGTCTGAGGTGCAAATTCTCAAATTTGTCTTCTGCAAATCTCATCCTCTGCTCTCGCCTYGCTCAGACAAGTGTGATGATCCCTGAGATAAATGAAACCTGTTCCTCTGCAGATGTGGAGCATCTGACTGAGGTTCCAGTGCTTGCAGGGCCTCTCAGCAGCCTGGGTGTGTGTCCTCTGGTGTCTAAAACACCAGAAAACCTCCCTTTGTGCCCTTTCTCGTATCTTCCTCGCAATGAAGTTCACAGACGCTTAATTGCATTACATTTTTGGCTGCCTTTGAATTTCCTTTGCGAGTCAGCGGGTGGCATTTCCCAAATTGTGACAGACACGTGGCAGCCAGCCCAGAGAAGGTTCCAGCCCTGGTGCACAGTGATGTCCCCAAGCTGTGCCCTCTTGGTGCCTCAGCAGGGAGCTCCTGGAAGCTGGATGTGTGCTGGGAATTGCCTGGATGACGGGAGAAATTAATTTCAGACCAAGCTATAAAAATGCTCGAGGCCCAGGAGATTCCCAAATGAAGGCAAAAAAAAAGGAAAGGAAAAGGAAAAAATCAATGGAGGTAGTAGGGAGCTATGAAATCCTGTCAGATGGCAGATGCAGTATCAGTCTCTGACCCAGCACATGATTTGCTGAGTGTCTCTGCTCCCTTGAACTGTGAGACTTTCACAAAGAAGGATTTTTTTTCTCCCCTCTCAGCGAATCCTCAGTGCTCCCCATTTATCCTTTGAGGTTAATCCATGATGACATCCCACATTATACAATTTAGTTGGAGCTTTCCGACCCTGAGCTTCACAGTTTGGGATTTTTTCCCTTAGGTATCACAGCTTGTCATCTGGTTAAAGACACCAGTGCTGTTTCTTTGACAGCTCCTCATTGAGCCAAAATGGCAAAAAGGTCTCACTTCGTAAAGGTTTCTCTGCTCTCCTTTTTGTCTGGGATGGCAGAGATCTGTTGGAAATTAAACAAGATGTTCCTGTATCCAAACACTCGAGTTCATTGCTCATATGGACCTTCTTGCTCTTCCCCAGGGATGGATGAGAAGCACTCAGTGGGATGGGCTGGTGCTGCCTCAGAGAGAGCAGGTGTTGGTGGCAGCTTCTGCTCTTTCTGCCATGGTTTTAGAGGATTTAGAGATTTTTGAGCTCTAGGTTAATCTCAAATTGAAGCTGAGTTCAAAATACCAGTTCCTTTCTCTTTAAATGAATAATCTGAATTTTTTTATTCAATGGCATGTACTCCAAAGCTCAGCTTTATGAGAAAGGCTGAATTTCTCACAAATCATGCAGAAGGGACCACAAGAACACTGCTAGTCTGGCAGATGGTCCTTACAAACATGTCTCGAGGTAGCTGGACTGAGTGGAAGGTTTCCCCAAAACTTTTCCCCAAAAACTTCAAATCCACCCCCCAAAAAAAATTGTCACACAAAGTACCAGTAGCTGTATACCATGTGTTTTAATAAACAGTATGGCTACCAGAAAAATAGGATTGCATGTGTTTGTTCTTCCCCCTCCCCCAAAACCAAAAGAATTGATCAAATTCGAACCGAAATAATGGAAACCCAAAACAAGAGGAAAAAAAAACGGTCCCAGAGTGAAGATGAAACGCAATACAGAGTTGGGAAAAAAGTTCTTTGATGACATCCTTGTTTACAGAAACCATGTTTGTAAAACATGAGGCAGTTGAATTATAAAATGGCCATTGATTTGATTGGTTTTCYTCTCTSTGTGTGTGTAAATATATATGAAGCTACATATATATGTCTATGCTGATACACCCTGGGGTGGGACAAAAACAAGACAAAAAATCAGTTGAGTGCGGGGAGATCTGAAAGACAAAAAAAACCCAGTTGAGTGTGGGGAGCGAGTAAAGAAGAAAATAAATTTATCATTTCAGTCAGTGAAGTAAGGACAAGGCTCAATTCCCCTGCAATTCACCACTGCTCTGCTTATCGGGGAACAGACTTGTCTCTCCATGGCTATGCYGTGTCCCTGATCCACAGCTGAGCTGGGAGCTCCTGATCTGAGTGACCTTCACTGGTCTGTGTATGAGCAGGGCCCCAGAAATGTATGAAGCATTCCTTTCTCTGGTTAATTCCCATGCTTTACCATGATTTTTTTTTTTTTTTAATTAAAAATTTATTAGCATCTCAGTTTGCATTTTTTTTCCCCAGGTTTCTCGCACGGACTGCTGTGCAGGTCTCCACGGCAAGGTGGAGCAACCCAGATGAGCAATAATGCCACAGTAAAGTGCTGTTACCACAATGTGACTGGATGGAGGAATTAATTTTACAGCGGGTCTCACGTTATTCCGAAATCACGCTCTGCCCGCGGAGCCGAGTCATGCAGTTGGAACCTCAGCTGTTCTCTGTGGGGTGCACCTTAATCCAAAAACAAGGACAGGAAGGAAAAATATTTTTAATTTCCTTCTCTCCTGCCATGGAAACCTACCCCCAAGCAGGAAGAGTAGGCAACACCGCTCTGTGCTGAGGTGTCCGATTCACTCTTAGGCAAATGAGTCCTGCGTTCAAAATGACAAAACAAGCCATGTCCTTCCTCTCCAGTTTTATATTGCTCTTCCAGAGAACCAGTCACTGTCCATGCTGTCCCAGATCTCAGTGCCGTGCTTAACGAGCTGATTAAGCACAAGCTGATGCTGGCTGCAAAGTCCAGGTGACCAAGAAGGTACCAAGAGAACAGCTCAGTTTGCCAGATGCTTGTAAACACCATATTGAAAAGAAGGCAAAGGCAAAACACCCTTCTCCACACATCCCCCCATCTTCCTTCCTTTTATTTTTTTTTTTCATTCTTTGCTCTCTTTTGCACTCTCTTTCCCTTTTTTTTTTTTTTTTTCCATACAGGGGTTGATGAAGATAAGCAAGACTTGTGCATCACAAATGGTGGAACCTCCCCCCAGCCCCGCCAGCTTCCCCACCCCACGACAATGCACGAGCCCACCTCATCCTGGACCTGCCCCCACCAATGTCCGTCTCTTTTCGGGAAACCACGCAGTCTGACGTGCTGGGGACTTCTGCAGTGCAGGAGCCGGGCTTGGCTGGTTCCTCCCCCTTTCCTGAGGCTCATAGGTGGTTGTTTTTGGACAGGTAGGCAATAAGAGCCACGGCTACCCCGACGTAGATGCCGGTTCCGATGGTGATGGACAGCACGGCCAGGAASAGAGCTCGCCGGGAGCTGGAGCTGGCGTGGTGGAAATCCCCCTTGGCTACTGCTTTGTTTGTCTGCAAGAGAGGCAGCACAAGAACAATGCCACAGGTTTATTTGTTTCATCTGGAAATCACAGAATCACCAGGGTTGGAAGAGAGCTTCAAGATCATCGAGTCCAACCCGTGCCCAACAYCTCAAATAAACYWYGGCACCARGTGCCACATCCAAACTTTTATAAAAAACACATCTGGGGATGGTGACTCCACTACCTCCCYGGGCACACCATTCCAGTGCTTTATCACTCTTTCTGTAAAAACTTTTTTCTAGTATCTAACCTCTAAAAAAATAAAGATGTGATGCTAATTTGTTAGCTGAAACAGGGTCCTGGCATGTGACAGTAAGCTGGCTGGCAATCAGACAATTATTTTTAGTCAAATGAGGCCMTTTGCACAATTAGGATGGTGATGGAACCAGCAGCATCTTAAGGGAGGGTGTAGTGTTCATAAACTATGGAGTGATATTGATGCCTGATGATTTTTGCCTTTTATTTTTATATACCCTTGGAGACATTTCTGTAAACTTTCTGTATCCCTTGCACCCTTGGCCTGCATGCTTGTAATTCCTGGAGCCTGATATTCCAGCTCAGTTCAGGGGTTCTGCTGTGCAGAGAAACCAAACATCCTCACTAAGGGGTCAGTGAGCCCTGTGCTGTTTAAACCTGAAGGTTGGAGCCTTCTCTCTGGGACACATTGTGTGAACTGGGCTCTGGCCCCATTCCAGAGGGGATTCTTTAGAATAGAAGGACATTACTTCATTCTTGAAGTTTCTTATTGGGGAATCCTAGATAGATCTGCTGATTTGTGAAATCTGTAAAATTTTTATCCGTGCTGTTCACGGGGTGCATTTTCCAGCGTTTTGTGCATTTTCCATCGAGCTGTGCACCTGGGATCCCATTAAATATCAAGGTAAAACCCTTTTATCCCCTTAACCATGATTAAAACTGGCCATTAAGGCAACAATATCAAGCAGGGACACCTGGCAGGCAGTGAGAGACCTGTCACCTGCAGCTCTTGYAAAAGCAAATGAGCTCCATAAGCTCTGGGACAGTCTTTGTTCCCTCATTATAACAAGCAAGGAATCCTCAGCCCTTTAATTGCATGTCTCCAGAAATGATCAATTTGCTGGGACACTTTCTTCTTCAGTGCCATCTACTACTCTATTTCTGTCTTTTTTTCTTTTTTTTCTTTTTTTTTTTTTTTTTTTCTACTCAGACCAATTTAAATGACAAGCTTCCACATGGAAGGGAAATAAAAAAAAAGCTACAGCCTTCCTGTCAATGACTTTATTAGGAGAACTGTCTCTTCTCTTACATCGGCCTAATTTTTTTAAGCATAATGCTTTATGAATATTTCAGGCAGAAACAATATCAAACAATACAGGAGAGGCTGGAGGGAGCTGTTTCAAAACAGCAAAATAAAAACAACACAGGTTTCCACACCTGCTGTCATCTCCTCCGGTTTAGGTAGGGAAGGGATCCTACTCACTTTGCAAAGCCCCTCAGCAAGGATTTAATGATCTCATTGTTTGGAACCTCCAAAGACTCAAAAGAAGATCCCTTTAAAAAAAAAAAAAAAAGCCCCTCCAGGGCCTTTGGGGATCATATTGGGGTCTCTTAAAAGGGTTGACAAGGAAAGCAGAGAAAGGTTTAGAAAGATCTGGTCCTTCAGCTCCCCTCAGAGTCTTTCCTTGTGCATTTGCTGCTCATCACACAACTTGTCCTGATCTGAAAATTTGTTGGAATTCGACCAGGGTAAATGCACATTAATAAAGACTACAGAGTTTTTAGGCAAACCCAGGCAGGCAAGGCTCAATTCCCCCCAAAATGGAGGGAAAGTTTAAAAATTATGGAACATTTTCAAACTGACATTTCTGAAATGCCGCTTTACGTTACAAGGGAAAATCCGCAACATTTGTGCTGACCTCTTTTAAATGAAACTTTGCAAAGTTTTAAACCAGCATTTCTTGACCTAAAGATAGATGGGAAGTCAAAGGGAAAAGAAACCATTAGTCAAAATGTCAAATAATCTGAAAACTTGACAGCATATCTTGATTGCTGCAAGAGGGGAGGTTGGATCTACCAAAAATAATGAGTTGAGAGACCCAAAAGGATTCAGAAGGCTGATTTTTCAAACAATAATACCCTTTTTCCTGATAGGATCTTCAACCTGGCAACAAACCTGCTCAAAAAGAACAGGGTTTTCTTTTTTGATGAACCCTTCGAGGACAGCCCTGACCTTTGTGAAAGGATTGGACCTAYGGTGAAAATCCAGTTTCTTGTTAAAACGTTCACCCAGCCAAAACCAGATGTCTCATATTAGTCATGTGCTGCTGTCAAGTTTTTGAATTTTGCAGCTCCAGACATCATGATATAAAAGTGATTTTGCTGGGGAAACATGCCTGAGCCTTCACAGAAGGAAAGGAAATTTTATTTTCCAACAAATTACCTAATCTGAGTTCATTTTTCCCTCTTAATGAATATTTTGTACTTTAGGAAAACTAAATCCCTGCTACATGGGAGTTTAAATGTAGGCTGCATTGGTGAGGGTACACGGGTAGGACAATCCTATAGATTTCCTTTATTCCATTCAGAAATATTTACATGGAGATGGAGAAACCATCCACACAGAAACCAGCTTTCATCTGTGAAAATGCAGCCTGAAAGAACTTGCTTAGTAATAAGAAAATTCTTGGGTGCTCTCTCCTAATTAGCAAAACCCTCCTATTACTGCTCAGAGTCATTACATGAAAATTACAGCATTTCTGCAGGTTTAAGCTAAAAGGATCTGAAAACACTCACCAAACAAAATGCAACTGCGGCCAAATGTAGTAGTTTAACATCTAGCAAATAATAAACAGTTTTGCTTGAATTTTTTTTTTTTAACGTGGACCAGATCTTTGGTGGTTTTGATCTCTTTGGGAAAGTCCCACGGTTTTGGGACCAATCCAGCTGTTCAAGACCCAGTCCCTTTTCACACATGACACAAAGAAATGATGCCCTGCTGAGTTTTCTACCTGAGCAATGTCTGTGCTCTGGCAAAATCCATGAGGCCAAGAAATGCCTTGGGTAGATCAGAGAGCAAAATCAGACCCAGATACACTGGCTTTTCTGCAGCTTTGTCAGCAACATCGGCTTCAGAGGACAGTGCAAAAATGAAGATCCAAACCCTCTCCTACCAAGAACTTAATTCACTACAGCATCTTCAAATTAGGTAGYTGATAAAAACTGCCCAAACTTTTTCTAATATGCTTGAAAGTGGTTCAAAAATGGCAAAAAAWTAAGGTTCTTCCTAATCAAAATTATGTTTTCTGAGGAGTTTTTTTAGTACTTCTGCCCGCTCACTTCCTACCTTCCCTGGCAAGGCTGTGGCTGACAGTTGGATGATGGATTTACCTATTTAATGCAGCTTTTGGACAGGAGCAGGGGCTGTGATGAAGTTTGGGTGCTACAAGKCTGAGAACAGGGATTTTAGCAGATCCCAGCCTCTAATCAATCTTCTCTTTAGAGGCTTTGGAGGCAAGCCAGAAAAGCGAGGAGGGGTGGGGGAAGAAAGGTAGAGATCTGGAAGGATTATCTTCTTTTGTTTAACTGAAAAAAATATTAATATCTTTCCCAGAACCGCTTTCAAGGAAGTTCCCTGGAGGTTCAAGCTGAGCTTCTGCAGCTCRTACTCAGGGTGTCTCTGGGCTGCATGTTTCACAGGCCAGGAGAAGATGAATAATGCACTCCAAGCTGCAAGGCTGAAACATTCTGCTGCATCCCCCAGTGACTCATTTATCATCCTCTCAAAATACCTCCTGGTGCGYGCTATCTGGAAACGAGAAACACACTGATCACAATTATTAATCCTGCCTCACCTCCCCGAGGCTGGAGAGCAGGACTGGCTCTGTGCAGGAGGAGGAGAGGTGGTCCTGACCCCTCTGGTTAGCTGATGAAAGGATTTCTTTTCACTTTGTGGGAACAAATGGCCAGAAAGGCCGGGGATGCACAGGCTCTGTGCAGCCACTGGCTGGACATTGAGCTTTATTTCTTTGAGTGACACACAAAAAAAATGAGGAGCAGCTCATACAGAGGATGCTTCTGCTCCTGAACTTCTGTCTTCGTTCCAGTCAAACCCTCTGTCTCCTCTTTTTAACTTGTCTAACTTGTACTTCTGCTGATCTCCAAGTTTTGGGCAAAAATTCCACCTTCAGGCTTACACCGATCATTTCCACTGATGGTGGACAAAAAAGTCTCTTTGCTAAAGACATGGATGGGTAAAGGGTGAAGKCAGGATCTGGCTCTGAGCAGTGACAATGACAGCAGGGAGGTGACAGTCAGCAGGGGAAAGCATGAAGCTGGCTGACACCCAGCACAGGGGTTGGGACATGGCAGAATAGCTGTCAGTCCTGAGGAGAGCATCAAAGGGATTGTCCAACCTAACAGCTCCACAGAAAGGCAGAAATTATAAACTAAACTAAAGAAATTATGAACTAAATGAAGGRAAAAATGTTCTTTGCTCTGCCAGGCATTTGAAAATTCCATTATGCTCAATGGAAAGTTTGGCCTGTGGTGGCAAAGAGCTCTTGCTGTAATTTGTGCAGGAAGATTGGCCCAGGGAACGGACATGATTCTCAAACACATTCTCAGTCTGGAACTTGCTGAGGAACCAATATTCCTCAAGCAGCAGGTGCCACTGAAATGCAGATACTTCCAAACAGATCCAAGCAGTTTAAGCCCTTCTGTAGTTTAATGCAACCTTTCTTCTCAAGCCTTTCAAGCAGTATTTCCAGCATTATGAACATCCCCTCCTTTTCCCTGCAATATCATGTCAACTTCCAGTTAACAATTCCAGCTTTGCAATTTCCTGCCAAGCTCCTGGACAGTGATGAGGCAGGTGAAGAGCAGTAACCTGAGAAATGGCACTTCCACTGCCACCAAATTAAACAATGTTGTGCTGGTAGAAGGAGAAATACCCAGAACAATTTTTATCCCTGGAAATCCATGAAAGGTTCAGGAGAAGARAGTGTGAATGGG